AAAATACTCTCCTTAAGGAGTTGGATGCAAAGTGGGAAAGACCCCTTGAGAAAAAGACACATCACACCAATTCCAGAGTTTTCACAACACTGCTATAATAATAGAAGACTGACTGTGGTGACATTCGCTATTAACAATGATGCCCAAGGTTTAATTCTTATTTATAAAAATGAGAATCTTGAGCAAGTCTGGCAGTGGATGCTGGAGAAGGAGGCAGTGTTGGATGACACCTTAAGCCTCTTCCCCTACCCCTGCTCAACCGGAGGAAACCTGTTCTTCCAGCCTGCCTCCTGGATCTCTCCACCACCTGGAGCTCTGACAGATCCCAGTGAGAATGTAAATCAGACATGGTGGAGGCAGGCTGCTGGGTAGGCCAAGAAATTTTAGGGGGAAAAGTCAACCCTGCTTAAGTACCCTTAGAGAGTTTTTCCCCTTAAGGGCTTAAACAGGGAGATGCTGTACCCATATCGTGAAAATATTCTTCTCAGTGCTGAATAGTAAGAAAAGTATGGATGAAATTCATCCCAATCCATAAACTGTATTAAGGAGAGAGACAGGGAAGAGACAATTTGTTCCAGCAACTTACTTAATTCCCAGTCCATCCTTTTCTCGAAATATCAGGGGAACTCTGAGAGCTTCTCTCTGTACATACTCATAGTTGAAGTCTGTTTGGATATTTGAATAAAAACAAATTGGTTAAGTCAAAAAGGAGCAAAGGAACCATAACCCTTTGGTCGGGGACAAAAAAATGACAGAGAAAAGGCAGGGGGTACACTACATGCAGGCATCAGCCATATGGCCAAAGCTCCCTGGAAAATGATAAGGAAATGGATTAGGCAAATCCTAATAGGCCACACCAACATGGGCTCCTCTGCCTACTCAGTCATTCTCTGCATGCCCCACCGGTCCAAACTTGTCAATGAACAGCCCAAGGCCGGCCAGGGTTAGGGAGGGAGACTCAAAGAGCCCCACAGAGAAAGAGCCCCAGCTATCATTCTGAAAGAGACACAAGACATCCCAAGCAGAGCTCAGAAAGTAAAGGGACTGCAAAACTGAAGAATGCCACCTGGGAGGATCTGAAGCCCCAGAGAGGAGGATGGGAGGAGGGCTCCCATTGTAGCCAAGCATCAGTGAAAATCTTATTGTAATATCCTGCATAGTGAAAGGGAGGGGGAAGCCGGTTTCCCTGGAAACTGTGTATTTGGTGCCAAAATAACTAGGGAACTGGGCACAGCTTTGCTGTCTTAAGAGTGAAATTCTGCCATAGCCATCACAATACTAGCTTCATCCTGATAACTGGGAGGGATGCTTCCCAGGTGAAGGCTATATAGACAGCCCCATAAAAGATTCACAGGGCAAGTTTTCTGTCTGGGGTTTGTCTAGCATAGATCCCAAAATTCTAGAGAGTGAAGGACACTTTTGACTAATTTCTTTCCTTCCTTAATTCCCAAACCAGGGGATCTGACCCAACCATAACCCTGAATATTGAGATTAGGGAGGCTGAGATAAACCTTCACAGGCTCCCAAATCCTCAGGTACCTAATGCAATCCACAAGGACACAAGCCCTCTCTGGCTGGCCAGAAGGGAAATAGAAGAGGCCTCAGGCCACTGAAGCTGGTCTAGGAGAACAGTTCCCGGGGCAGCCCTGGGGGAGGAGGAGGCCAGGATAACTCCCCTCAAAGAAGAGAACAAAACCCAGAGCTGAGGAAAGCCCTGACCTCAGCAGCTCAGATCCCCAGGGGCTCACAGTGAATGGGGATTCCTAAGGATTTAAAGGAAGAGAAGTTTAAGAAGCTTCTATTTTGAATCCAGGCTAAGGGCTCCTTCTGTTTCTCAGCTCCTCCCTCAAGTTTTGGGGCCAGATCTGAATTAACTAGCAAAACCCCAACTCTCTTCCTTTGAAAGGGGCCCAGCAAGCAGATTCAAGAAAATACTTTGGTGCTCCCTTACTAGAATTAACCACCATACCCACACCACACCTATCCCAAAACCAGGGTCAGCTTCATCTGCCTCAAATGACCTTGAGAAAAAGCTTTAAATCAGTTGGGACTAGCACCCTGCTCTCAGACCTGGCAGGCCTGAAGAAATTTCTTCCTTCCCCCCAGAACTACCCTCCCATCACTAGGGCCTAGGGCCCCAGGACGTAATGGGCACAAAGGAGAAACTTAAAAACTGCAAAGCCAGGCTAGTCTTTTTTAGGGGTTAACCCTCAGCCACAGCCAGCCAACCAGAACCTAGAAGAGGCAGGCATGTCCCCTCTGCTACCAGCTCACTGAGGGACTGAAGGGTTTTCCAAGGGGGATGAGAAGATAAAACAAAATACAAACTGAGTAACCTAAAGGAAACTCAAATATCTAAGGAAAACAATGAACTTATAAACTCTAGGAGGGCCTGTGTAGGTAAGGGCATCTCTGAAACCCAGACCCCACAGGCTGAGCTGGGTTCCTGGGTTTCAGAACCAGGAGGCAAGCTGGCTTCAGGCTGGGGTAGCCTAGGGTCCTAGGGACCTCTGACCCAAGCTAGAGCATCACCGAAACATCTGGAGGACACCCTGAGCCACTCTCCAAGTAGGAGAGCCAGGGAGAAATCCAGGCCCTTAAGAATTCTAGTTGGGGCAGAACTCAAATCCCCAGAAGCTTCCTTGAGCTCTGTACTGGGCAGGCCCACAGGGGACAGAGCTCTCAAGGTCTCAGGCCTGGAAGAGAACCCTGTTTTCCAGAGAGCTGTCCTACATCTTCCTTCAAATTGTCAGCGGACAGGGATTGAGCCCCGGAGGCTGAGACTCCTGGCTTCAAACTGTCAAGGCTGCAGCACTAGGGAGCTCTGGGCCTCAGTGGGGGTTCAGGCCTAGGTGGGGACTGAAGGCAACGGTTCCAGGCACACTGGCCCCTGCTCCAATCTCGCAGACCCCAAGCCTGAGGGGGCGTTAGCCCCATAACCCCAGGTGCCCCCATCACCATCTCCTAACTGGCAGACCCCGAGATGGCTCGGGACATGGGAGGCTTCAGGCTTGGGGAGGAGGGGTATCACCCCGGTGTCCCATGGCTCCAGCCTGTTGGCAGCACCTCTGGCCCCGCTGGGTAGCTCCCAGCTCCACAAGGGGGAGGACGCAGCGCGCCCTTCCTCAGTCTGCTTGTCCATCCCCAGGTCCTTCTGTCCACCGGTGCCCTGGCTTTGCCCATCATGGGGCTGCTGGTGGGCGCAGGCCGGGCCTAGGCCCACGCCCAGCCCCCTTCCTGCCTGGCCTCCTCTCTCGCCACCCCACCCCACCCCCCAGTGCTCGGCCTGGTTTCGTCACCGGATCCCCTGGAATGGGGGACGCGGGCGCGAAATACGAACCCAGCCACCGGCAGCTCCCTCCCCACGTGCACTCGGCCGCGGCGCGGAGGGCAGCCAGGGGAGGGGGCTCCTCACCTTTGCCCTCCATGGCATGCACGAAGTCCCCCTGGTACAACTGGCTGCGTAGCTTCTCCTCCAGGCTGAAGCCGCGGACGCTGACTATCTCCTCCACGTCCGACAGGTCCTCGTTCTCGTCGTATCTCTGGCGGTCAATCGGGCGCTGTGGGGACCCAAACCAGAGAGCCCGGGACATTACTGGGGGACTAAGGGTAGCCTCTACCCTGGGCCCAACAAGAACAGGTGCAGGAGCTGCGTGCCCCCTGCACCCCACCATTGCAGCCCGAGCAACTTTGCGCAAATGCCAAAGATGCTGAAAAGCAGAATAAGGAGAGGGGCCCGCACCCCCAGGGTCCAGCAGTCCCCTCCTATATCTTTGGAAGCCATGGAAGAGACATCTGGGGGCTCTCCTTTGCCCCCACCCCGAGACGTGTAGAGCTTTGCCCACTCAGCCAGGAGCCTGGTTATGTAACCCGCGGAGGGGCTCCGGGCATGGGCTGGCCGGGCAGATGTAGGCCCCGAGAGGAGCCACTGCAGCGCCCGGCTCGGCGGTAACAGCAGCCACGGCAGCAGCGGCGGCAGAGCCGGGAAGCCGGAACCGGGGGCCGGCGGCATTTCTAACACTGGAGCCGCCCCCGAGCTACCAGAAAAGCTGGAAGCTGAAATGGAAGGACTGAGACCCCAAGCCACCCCCGCCAACCGCCCGCCAGTGCAAGAAGAGGAGGTGGGGGGAGAAGGTTCGGGGCTTGGGAGGAGGAGAGGCAGACGGCCCGCCACAAAGCTCCGATCGGAGACCCCAAAACGCACCAGCAGCTGCCTCATCTCCCCATAAGAACGCGCGCACACTCACTTCCTAAGGAGACTCCCCCACCACTCCCCGCATCCCCCAGCCTCCTCCCTCCACCGCCCAGAGCCCGGCCCCGCAGCCCCCCAGATTCCGGGCGAACCCCGAACCCGCTCAGCCCCCTCCACGCCTTTCCGCGCTACCACCTCCCCACTTAAGTGTCTGAGACTCTGAGCCTCAGAAGGGACTGGAGGAGTAAGCTGCTTGCTTCCTTTTGCATGCAATTTATTATATTTTTCCGGTCCTCTTGCAAAATACAGAAAAGGAAAGAAAAGGCAACAAGAAACAAACCAAAAAAAAAAAATCTATCATATAAGATACAGATTAAAAAAAAAAAAGCTACACACCAATCTTCTTCCAGAGTCTTTCTCTGCCTCCATTTTTTTAGGAGAGTTCACCAATTAATTGTCAACGCTCCTGCCCCCTGCATTTTGGCCGAGGGGGGAAGGAGGGAAGACCAAAGAAAACAAACCGAAAAATAAATAAATAAAGCAAGCCAGAGCCGAGATCTACAAAGTTTTGCACCAACACTTAGGCAGATCCGTTTGCAAAGTCCTAGGAAACCATTTTCAGCAGTTGGGGGGGGGAGGCGTCGACGTCATAATCCCCGGAACGTAAACATTGTTGCTGATCGCGCTCGGAGCTCGCGGCCGGGTTTGTGGGGGGGGGGCCGCGGCCCGGGATAGGGGGGGCGGGGGCGGCGGCCAGAGGAGGTGTGGGGCGGGGAGGGAGCCCGGGAGGCACCGGGCGCCGTTAGCGCCCTGGCATCGCTGTTTTGTTGTTGGGTCACGAGTGCGCCTCTGCACGCAGGCGCCGCCGCCGCCCGGGAGTTGTGTGCAGAGCTGACTTTTGGAGGGCTGAGTTGCAGGCGGCGGGCGCATCCCGGAGATGGCGGGGCAGGGCGGGAGAGAAGGAGGGGGCGGGGAGGGAGGTGCAGATTTGCACGGCTGGCCTCAGCGGGAGGCGCGGAAATGCAAGCCCAGCGTGTTGGCGTGAAAGCCCCCGGGGCCTGGCACCCCCCAAAAGGACCCCCCACCTCCGTCTCTGACCCCATTTCTCAGGGCCACCCCGCTTCCTCTTTTTATCCACCCTACCCCATTACCTGCATGGCCGACCCAAATTCAAAGCATTTTGTATGTGTGTGTGTGTGTATATATATATATTTTTTTATTTTTTTAGTTTTTTGCTTTTTATACTGCATGCCTTTTTCGTATGGAAGGGGATGAGGGTTGAGCCTCTGCAGATCCCCAACGGTGGACAGTCCATATGGAGGGGGCATTGAGAGGACCCAGAAGGAAATTAGCTCAGCTCCATACCTGTAAGGACTGTATAACTTAAACTCCTGGGACTCAAAGATATGGACCCAAACACACACACAGACACACACACACAGGTACAGGAAATACAGCCAGACTAGAGCCTTTTCAGACTGCAGCTGACCGGAAGACGTTGCCTTTCATTCATTCATTCTGCCCGCCTCTGTGGAATCCTTTACTAGGCGACGAGCCCTGAAACAGAAGTTGGACATTTTTTTAAAGGTCCTCGCTCTCGCCAAGAGGAAGAAATAGATGCTCAGAAGTGAAATACGAAAAGAATCGGATCTGGCGCCTCCTAACGAAGCCCACAAACAAGTGAAGGGTAAGACCTTGTTAGACATTTATAGGGAAAGAGTTGGTGGAAAGGTGCAGAGGTGCTCTGGAATGGGAGGCGGGGAACTTGGGCATACGTCGACTTAGCGGAGGTATCTTAACATATTGAGTGTCATTAGCCCCTAGCTTGCTTCCCTGGCCACTTACTACTGCTTGTGACCACCCCCAGAGCTGGTCCTGAATTGTCCTGTAATGTCATGATGACAACAATCAGGTAGACTTCAGCTGAAAAAGTTGGCTCTAAACATTCCTCCAGCCTCACTCCTGTGCCCTACTAGGCCTGATCTTGCGGGTAAAGATCCTGGTTAGATGACGGGAGGACTATCCCAATAAAAGGACATTGTAGAGAGCAGGCTTTGAGCATGGCATTTTATTTCTGTTGTGGGATAGCTGGAGCAGGTTATTTTGCAGATGGGGAAAATGAAGCTGAGAGAAATTATGAATCTGGATGGATTAGTCTGCCCCATCTAGTCCTCATGTCAACAGTGGATCAGACGTGTGGGGAGGAAGTGGCTTCTGAGCCAAAGATGAGATGTGAACAATCAACTCTGTACTGGTCACCCTAAGAGACAGCTTCCCCCTCACTCACCTTAAAGTTTCCCATCATATCTTTCATGTACACTCTTCAAGGCTAGTCTTTGAAGTTTATTTTTATTTTATATTTATTTTGTTGTTGTTGTTGTTGTTGCAGTTTGGCTGGGGCCGGGTTCGAACCCGCTACCCTCGGAATATGGGGCCGGTGCCCTACTCACTGAGCCACAGGCGCTGCCCTGAAGTTTATTTTTAATTAATGTTCATTGGTTATAAAAATCTTAAGTAGGGATGAAACCAGCAAAAATCAAAATTTGTTTCCAAACTGAAGTCACTCACGTTGGTTCTGCTGCATCATTTGGCAGTGAGAAGGATTCTGCCTTCATCCTCTATTCAAGACCAGGCAGGGACCATTTTATTTTCTTCTTCCTTTCTTATAAGATCCCTTTTATGGGAAATAGTCTTGTTAGTTGGAGGAGGAAGCTGGAACTTAGACCAGGATCACACAGCTTGCGTGTGACAATGCTGATCTCCAACTGGAGTCTGGCTTGGCCATCACAGGCTCTTTCAGAGAGTGACCAGCTACATGACTTCCCTTATAATGAAACAAATGTCCCTAGGAGAGTGTGTGTCTAGAGGGTGGTTAATAGTAAATTGAGTGGAATAAAGTAAAAAACAGAATGCTTAATCCTCTTAATTTTTTTTTTCTTCCTAAGACCCTTCTCTCTTCCCAAGTGTCCCCAAAAGCAGGCATCAGGAAAAAATATCCAGTAGTAGCCACTTTAGCGTAAAACAGTTAAGTCTATATATCACTTCAGTGGGGAGTTCCTGGCCTGTCAAAATGGAAAGGAGCTGAGTAGTCACCTAATTTAATCCCCTCCCTTTACAAACCTCAAGGAAACCACAAACCAGAGAGAAGAATGGGCCAGCCTGGGGCTTGTTCCCCTTTGACTACCCCAGAATGCCTGCCCTGCCGCCTGGTCCTAAGTGGTCACTCAATAAATGTTGGGCCCTTGATGGATCACCTTCCCCCTTGATATTTGCATTTTCTCTTTATCAGTAATTGGCAGATGAAAGGCTTTGTCCTCTGGTTGAAAGAATTCCAAGCATTTGCTCAAAGTGGGGGAGGAGGTTATTTTGGGCCAAAGGGGGAAGGGCCAAGCCCCTTGAGCTCCCAGTGTTAGCTAATTGTCACACTGGAGAGTAGGTGAGAGAGAAGGGAAGCTTAGGTGCTTATCAAAGACTAGTACTTTTTCTTTCAGGAAAACACCACCAGGCCAGCTGTATTTGAAACATTATAATAATGATTTCCTGAACCCTCCTGCTCCTTCTCACAAAAGGCTCAGTCCTGTCTGTGTTTCCCCCATTCATTTATTTCTTCGTTCATTGAAGGTTGATCAAGCAGCTCTGTGACAGAAGACAGAGAAGATAGAGAAAAGATAGAAGAAATAGCTCCAATTGTAGGAATACCTCCGCTGGGCAGGGCGATGGACAGGAGGCCAACCAAAGAAAAGACTGACTCTAGATGGATCCCTTAGAAATCAGAATCCAGGATTTCCTTTCTTCCTTTCCTTCCTTCCTTCCTTTTTTTTTTTTTTTTTTTTTTTTTGAGGCAGAGTCTCACTCTGTCACCCTGGATCAAGTGCCATGGCATCATCTCTCAGAAACTTCAGACTCTTGGGGCTTGAGCAGTCCTTTTGCCTCAGCCTCCTGAGTAGCTGGGACTATAGGCAGCTATGCACAATGCCCAGCTATGTATTTTAGAGATAGGGTCTCGATCTTGCTCGGACTGGTCTTGAACCTGTGAGCTCAGACAGTCCTACCTGCCTCAGCCTCCCAGAGTGCTAGGATTATAGGCGTAAACCACTGCACCCAGCCTAGTTTTTCTATTTTTATTAGAAAAGGGGTCTCATACTCCTGTGCTCAAGCAATCCACCCACCTTGGCCTCCCAGAGTGTTAGGATCATAGGCATGAGCCACTATGCCCTGGCCAGAATTTGAGATTTTATTCTCATGTTCATATGTAATTACAATAGCTCTGAGTTTTGAGAACTTACTATGTCTTTGATTCCTCACCAAAGCTCTATGAGGTAAGGGCTGTATTCCCCCACATTCAGGCTGAGGTTCAAAGAGAGGTCAAGTTGCTTGACCAAATTGTATGGTTATGAATAACAGTGACAGGATTTGAACCCAGATTTTGTAAGAATCCATGGCCAAAACCACAGGATTGACCTGTATGCCAAGACTCTCTGTGGGGCTGTTCTTTGATGGAGGCAGTCTACATCTGCACTACTATTCAGTACAGTTGTCTCTGGCCACATGTGGCTATTGAGTACTTGATATGTAGGTACTGGGATTAAGGAACCGAATTTTTTATTTCATTTTAATTAAATTTAAGTAGCTATATGTCTACTTTATTTTATTTTGTTTTTTGTTTTGTTTTGTTTTTTTGCAGTTTTTGGCCAGGGCTGGGTTTGAACCCACCTCTGGCATATGGGGCCATTGCCCTACTCCTTTGAGCCACAGGCACCGCCCCTATTTTGTTTTATTTTTTAGTCTGTGTGTCTTATTAGACAGCACAGCCTTAGCACATTTTCCAGAATTTGTCTTAACTTACATGCCAGTCTGATATATACATACATACACATATACACACACACCCCTCCAGGTCTGATTTGATGCTAGGTCCCCATAATCAACCTTCTGGAAGCATTTGTGGAATGAATGAAGGGTCCATGGGGGAAAGGGGCCAAAGATATCAGCAAAGGTTTCCTGGAAGAGGCCATCTGGCATACAATGTGAATGCTCACAGTGTTAGCCCTTGAACCACGCTCTTGGAATGCCTGCCAAGAGCCTGTGTGTAGGCACCAGAGGATGCCAGTTGGCTATGAGATTGTCCCACCTGCCCAGATCTCACAAATAAACTTCTCTGGGACAAATAATTGGTGATGGGGCAAGAATCCTTAGACATAGGTAACAACTCCAGATATACATGGTATATACTTCTGATAAGACTCAAGCACAAAGATGTAATCTGTTGTAGCCCTGTTTACAATCGAAGTCCGAAAACAATCTAAAAGTCGGGGAACCAATTAAATATTCTTGTACCATTTATCTGCCCAATGAAATGCTAGTGAATCATTAAAAAGAATAAAGAACTATACATACTGAGGTGGAATGATTTCATGATATTCTTAAAA